GAGACTTGTGAAGTGCGTCTGTCTCCTTATGGGAACTGATAATTTGTTTGCGGATCCCGCCAGAATATTTAAAGAAATTTCCAAATCTTGTTTGTTTTGTGTGTGTGTGTGTTTGTTTGTGTGTGTGTGTGTGTGTTACGGCGCAGCGATCTTAGTGATAATACCAGAAATTGCCTCCTAAATCGATCTAGTTGGCGTTGATTAAATACCAGATCCCCAAAGGCATTTTTTGCTTAATTCAACATTATTTTCTTTCACGGCCTTAGCAAAACTGATGTTGACATCTTTAAGTGAACAATTGAGTTACCAAGTAAATTGCGCTACAGTTTGATTTCACTTAAGACACGAATTATTATCGTATTTTTAAAAATAAATTTGCGAATACCTAGGAACAGTATTGCCTCGGAACTTATTGAACTTGACAAATTTCAAGTGAATATGGAGAAAACAAACTGTGAGTAATGCTAGAGAATGAATGAACGTTATGTTCGACTTCTCATATTTCCATTCTCAAGTGTGCAAATGCCGATTTTCAAATAATTATAACCCACAACTTATTCTTATTAAACTTAAATAACACTTTATTCACATAAACATAAAAAACAGTCACCTTGTAATGTTAGATTCGCATACAAAACGGTTAATAGAACAATTGCAGAAGTAGGAATGAGTAGAAATTAGACTGAGTTGGTGAAGTTTAAATCTCTTCAGAAATTAGGGGAGAAAAAACAAGTTTCACGGAAATACGGGGAAGAATCAAATATAATTGTAAAAGATGTTGCAATAGAATTTTCGGAACAAATTGGGAGTAATCTGCATTTTTGCATATGGCATTTGTGCTAATCTAAATCTACTATGTGCATTTTGAGCATATTTCCAAAAAGCGTAAAATGCAACTGTACTAAAATTTAACTATTAGCATCAAAACCTACCAGTATTTGTCACAGCGATTATAATTTTGAAATTGCAATCTGACCAGTTCATATGGAGGTAACAAGGCCATTTGGTCAGTGGCGGCTCTGGGATTAGGCAACAGGGAGGGCACACAAAGTTACAGGATCAAACAATGTTAGGCATTTGAAAAATTGTTATATTTGGATTGTTTAAGTCACATAAGTAATATTTACAATCGAATTATCTCCCTGGAAGACGGGCTAATCACATGATCTATAAATTAAATTGAGTCTTCTATTGTTACATTCTGTAAATCTATTACTAATTCTTCAAAATTAAATGAGTCTCGTAACTCTTTATAATGAAAACATACCAAGTCCATTCAATCTCTCTTCCGACATGGTATTTCTTAAAAATGTCTATAATCTTTTCAAAGTGAAAAAGCTCTCTGATTCTTTTATATAGCACATCCAGCTCAGATTTCAGTTTGCTAGCTCATGAACGGAGAGTACTGTGAAACACGATCAACCTTTTCTAGGGGGAAATTTTCTTGATATTGTTGGAACGTTTTACAATCAAAGAGAGAACACAAGGCAAAATTCCCCCTAAAATTAAGATGGCCATTTACACCTTTGAAATTTCCGTACAAAAGAACGATTGCCATTTCTATCAGATTGTAATTTTTTTTTTTATCAGGCCAGGTTGCCCAATTCTCTTCATGTACAGCCTTGTATCCTAACCACATTGACTGTTTTCAAGCATTTTACAGAAAACCATTCTCAATCTCAATGCACAATACGAACTGGACGCAAAGATCGGAATACAGCATTCACATAGTTTGTCTACGGATCGGAAAGATGATGCCGACCATGCCGATTGCACACTACTGCGCTGAATTGTTGTGAAAAGGTAGATCAGTTAAACAGATTACCAGCAGATAGCACTGGCCTGAACGAAAATCAAGCGAAAGGAATATTTTTAAGTTTAAAAATCGATCAATAGATAGCGCCGGGCAACAAGGTTGCTACCTCCCTTGTCAGGCTGCTGGGCGGTGGCCGTCATATGACGCCATTTGCCGAAACCATGTTGCCATTTCAACTCTCATTGGCAGCGATTTGTATGTCTGTAAGTTCCGTAACAACACTACGTTTAAGACACAGAGGCGAGTGTCCGCAGCCAATGAAAATCGTTTTACGGAACAAGCGGGAGTTTAAAAGCTAAAGATGTGTTCGATTCGAAAACAACCCTACAGATCCACAGAGATTATTTTAGCCAGCGCAAGGGGAGAAATACTGATCTCAGGGGGGGGGCAGTGTCCCTAGCGCCTCCCTGCCGCAGCCGTCACTGCATTGGGTGTTGGAAACTTTTGAACGGGAGTATAAGATTATCAGCTACTACGATTGATTGGTAAGTCCAATGCCATATACTGAAATAACATATTTAAACAAAGCTGGGCAATAAAGAAATTTTCAACACAGTTTACAGCGTCGGCGACGCCACATTTTGCTAGTAGAGTAAAATGCACTGATAAAGGTGGTATAAGTCCGATTTTCAAGGTCATCTCTAAATTTTCGAAAATTGTAAAAGTTTGAATTTTTTCAGTGTCTTTTTAAATCTATAAAGTTCAAGATAGAGATTTTTCCGTCAAATGAAATTTCTTAACCATAATTAGTTCTTTCATGAAAGTCCTGTAGTTTTTTTGAAAGTTTTACTCGCTCAATATTGCGTGCAATATGTGAAATTGTAAAGAAATAACAAAAACAAGATTTTTTCGAAAACGGCACAATTTTTTTTCTTCTTAAAATTATTAGCAGGAACAGTGCGAAAAAAGACTTGTCTCTCACGTCGTTAATATTTTCATTGGTGGCAATGTGATAACTTTATTGTATCTATGAGTACATGAGCTTTAAATAATGTCTTATAAAGTTTCTCGAAAACTCGACAGTTTTCCGATAAAATGAGCCCAAAATTCCGCATTTTCAGAAACGTATAAACGCTATTTTCACAAAAAAATTTCTTCATACTTTTCCAACAGATAGTGCTAATTGTACTATTTTTCAATGAAAATTTTCATTTAGGACGAGGTTTTACTCTTCTTGAATATTCTGTAAGGAATATTTCGTTCTATTATGGAGAAACCGAAAAATAGATAAACTTTCAAAAAAAAGTGTTTTGACAGCGATAGATGACTGCTACCAAGTCCAAATAGCTAGCGCACCTTAAAAAAAGAAAAAGGAAAAAAAAAGAAAAAAAAAGAAAAAGGAGACGACGAGGTATTTGCCATTATGTTACACCAGTAGTTTAAATCCAACTTGTCGACGAAATTCGCAACCGGAACCTAAATAAATCGAAAGAAAGCAAAAAATCGTTGTAAACAATGTGATGTCACACGCACCTCCGCAACCGCATAACACATCCAAAAACTTAGTAATTCTCTAGGAATTGCTTGCGCTCACAGCAGAGGTTGCCACCTACCACTTTCCCAAACGTTGTGGCGTCATTCTGGGCATCTCTGTTGTGACGTTCATAGACATTTAGATTTAGATTTATTTAGAAAAAAAAAAGAAAGAAAGAAAACAGTAAAAACCATGTGACGTATGTGGGAGAAGATCATCTACGCACGTTTTCTTGAGTTCCAGAATCACTTCCCATTATTTTAATTACAAATAGTTGAAAAATGAGTAAAAGTTTAAAGTAAATAAATAAAAATATTTTTTAAAAGCACGAGATTAGCAATATTTGAAAAAATAGATCTTTTCGTTCTAGAGTTATGAAAACATACATAATTTTTATTTATTTTTACGTCAAAAACAGCTAAAAACTGCGACGTGCTATGGGGAGAAGTTAATTTGCATTTACATTAAGGAAGCTCTGGTGCCGTAAGTAATTCTTTATTGGCACTCGTACATCAGCAATAGGAAATTAAAATAAAAGTACGGAAATGTGACATAGTATAAAATAAAACGGTATTTCGGTTTCAAGTAGCCGCAGACCATGGGTTTCTGAGCATGCGCATTAGAGCCATGCTCTCTTTGGGTAGTAGCTCAATATATCGCCCAGAAATTTCGTCTGCTTGTATTAGTAAATTGTTTCATTGGTTTTCGTTCGTGCTTTCTTACACGAAATGTGAATTTGATGGGCTCAGTCCGCCTGTCGAAAAGCTGCATAGTCGATGTTTTTGAGTCGGCATGTACTGGAGCCGTCTACTTCTTCTCAGTGATTACATCAGACGAGTGCGCACTGCGCAGATTCCTTGCACAAACTTGAATTATCAGACTCGGTGCCATATAGAAAGTTTGATATATCAAGTACACTACAATATACTTGGATATAATTTCTTGGCGCGAGAGGGCTTGTCTTCATCTCATGACATTCGCGCCTTTCTCGGTCGTGCTGCCAATGTCACACGATCGCAACCGTATTGCCAACCCTGCTCGATACGGTCGCAATCATCGTGAAGACAGGCCCTCATGCGCCAAAAAATAAAAATCCATTTATAGTATAGCGATTTTCTATCAGGCCGCACCTGACACAGCAGCCACTTTATCCCGAGATGGTTGTATTGAGAATATTCAACAAACTTCATTTAACAGTGAAAATAATAATATTTTTATCGATGTACGTTTGTTAGCGATAATTTCACTGAGGAAAATAATAAACAATATAAATTAAATTTGAAGGAAAAACAGATTATCGAAAATGTATGATGTAGTTTATATTAGAAGATTTAATAAAGAAAGAAATGTTTCATTTTATAATTCATCTCTACTTCTTATTTTAATTTTAGTTGAATAGCATTATAGAATTGCAAATCATAATTTTTACAATCAATGTAGTCCTCTTGTTACATAACTAACAAAGTTATATGTAGGTGGCCTACTTTTTGATACAACAAAAGGAGAATATCAAGTAAAATTTATTTTAATGCTTCAGATTAACCCATTTTTGTAACATCCAAGATTACTTATTGAACCAATTTGAATTTTATTTAAAATGTATAGTAATTATTGCTTAATTATATATTTTGAATAAAATTAATTAATAATTTATAAATTTAAAACAATTTAATAATTATTTTATCATTAAATTAATTGGGTACAGCTTCTATTGATTCTAAGAAAACATAATCAAATGAATTGAAAAGTCATTTCGTCAACAACAACAAAAAAGAAGCAATTTCTTGATATACTTTTCTTATCACACTCACATCACAATGAATTTTTCAACTCTCACCATTTGTGGCTGTGATATGAAGAAGAATTAGAACTCTGATATGAAGTTGGCAAGAAGATAGAGTTCAAGGCTGCAGATGATTGGCCTTTATTATGTAATGTTGGAGTTGAACGAAGAGGCTTAGTATAACTACAAGCAAACCGAAACCTTACAGTAAGCAGTCTCATTGCATTGAGCTACCTTGATCAACATTCACAGTAAGAGAAGAAAAGAAAATATAAAGTTGGGATAATTTATTTCCAATGCAGGTGAGGCATTGCTGAAATACAATAATTAGTAATATAACTGTTTGACTAGTACACTAAAATCATCTTCAGGAAATTGATTTAGAATTATGACAAAAATATTGAATGCCATTCTTTGTTTCAGAATTTAATTTTATGAGAGGAACTGTAAAGGCAACATGTCTTCTCCAAAAATGATACAGTATTTTCCAACTGAAATATTTTTAATTCTATCAGCATTATTAGTGACCAATGTATATGCTGCTAATATTTTGGCTTTAGTGGTGACTCCATCTCCTAGTCACCATATTTGGAATCGGGCACTCACATTAGAATTAGCACATAGAGGTCATCATGTTACAGTAGTAACCCCAGATCCTGAAAAGCAGAAATATCCAAATTACACTGAAATTATTATTGAAGGAATGTATGAAGAAGTTATTGAAAATTATGATTATACAGCTATGAGTAAAGAGAGTATACTCCAAAATTATGCTTCCATATTTCAGTGGGGTACTGATGGTTGTGAGAAAGGTTTGCAATCAAAGGGAGCAAAGCAGCTCTTAGAATTAGTGGGTAAACAATCTTTTGATCTTATTATTGTTGAGGCAGTAGTTGACGAATGCTTTCATGCATTTGTACCGTTATTTGGATCACCTCCAGTAATAGCAATTACTGCTTATAGTCTGCCTCCTTGGGCGGCAGAAATGTCAGGTAGCCCAAATACTCCTTCCTACATTAATGTTGGAAATCTTCCTTATCCTCAACATTTAACATTTATTCAAAGAACAATCAATTTCATTGTTCATTCTTTTGTAAAAGCATACAGAAGACTAATTCATTTACCAAAGCAACATGAAATAGCTCAAAAGTACCTTGGAAAAAATATTCCACCAATAGAAGACATAGAAAAAAATATTAGTATTATACTATCAAATATTCATTATAGTTATGATTACACACGACCTTTAACACCTTCTCTGATTCCAATTGGAGGAATGCATATAAAACCAGCTAAACAATTGCCAAAGGTAAGAAAATTACAATCTTATTTGTAGATTGCATGTGCGCAGAAAATGAAAATTGAATTTTTAACTTCAAATTTATTAAATGTTTTCAATTTTATTTTCAGAAGAAATAATTATTCTTTTAGTTATTTATTGAATTTTATAGGCATATTTTATAGGCATATTTTGAATCATTTTCACAATAATCTTTCTTATTAATAAAGACAGTATTTTCATGTAAATGCATGTCTTTATTTACGCTTTGTACTGCTTTCAAACTTTCTTCAAAATTTTAAATATGCATTCTTTTTCCATGCTCATTTGCATGGTGTGGTAGTTTTTTGATGAAATTAATGCATAATAAAAATTTGAACACTTTTTATTATTAATACTGCATATTTAGACTTCTATCTAGGAGTCGTCCAAACATCATGTAACAGTAAAAGGGTGGGAGGGGATTAGAGGCAGCTTTACATAAGGGTAGAAGATGTTAGTTTAGTGTTATAAAAGACTTTTTTTTCATTATTTTTTGAAAATTCCTTTATTTTGTCATATACAAAAATGTTAAATATTAGCAATATATTAATTTTTTTCATACAAATAAAACAAAAAGTTATGATGCAAAAATTTTACAAAAAAAGGAAATATTTTTTCATCAGTGACATATTGATTGCATCTCGTACATTAAGAAAGAAATACTAAAAACTGATGTCCTTCCTTCACCCGAAGATTAACACAAATCTTTTTGTTAGGTAATAGAGCCAGCGTAGCCTACTAATTCTGACCAATTGCCATCAATTTTAATATATAACAGAAATAAAATTAATACAAATTGTTTTTAGTGTTTTAGTATTTAGGTTTTTAGTATTTTTACGTATTGTAAATGGGGAGGTATCCTCGCAAGCATTTCATAATTATTTAGGTAAGCCCAACGCACATGTTAACTCAAGTCCATTACAGAGCAGTATTCAAAGGACTCCAAATTTGTGTTAATGTAGTTAATAGACCCTTAGCATATTAAGTACTTTTTCATAATTTTTTGCATAATTTGGGAATACTAAAATTGATGCATATTTTGTATCAAGAGCGTATTGTTTTTAGATCCGAACAGTATGCAGTTATCTTTACTTATTGGTTTACTACAAATTGTAATCCTCCAGTACACATAATAGATTTGCAAAGCGAGTACATGCACTGTGAGCTACAATTGTGAAATTATTAAACGATTGTGAAAAGATTAGGCCATAATGGATGATGAAGGTACACAAAGCCTACACTCAAATCATTTGATAACAGACAAAGGGAGGGAAAAGTAATTAACAGAGGACTTCCAGTACTCTTGCATAAAATAAATAAATACATTTTTTTAAAATGTGAAATTGGAAAAAAAAAGTATAAAATCAAATTTTTTAAACTGTCTACAGCAATTCAGAACTTAGAAACAGCACATTACCTCTAGCGAAGTCATTATCAATTGTTGAAGACAATAAAATGCCTTTGGAATAAGTGATTGGAGATGTGTGTGACCAGTAAGGAGATTTTAAATAAAGTCAGAAGTGGGATTTTGAATCTTTCAGAGGGCAAATGAGGGGGGAGTATTTGTATAAAATTTTAAAATAACAATTTTATAAAAAATAAATTTATTAAACTATAATTATATTAAAAAATTATTATTTTTATTTAAATAATATTAATTTCAATAAAAAAATACGAAAAGAAATGTGCTTGTATTAAACAATTTACTTTTTAATGATCTGCATTTCTCATAATATGTTTTTGATGTACAACTTATAATTATAATATATGTAAATAAACTTAAACTACTACTACTTCTTAGTAGGCCAGAAGCCTATTCCATTTCTTGGTTTTAAAAATCTTCCTGCCATCGTCACCTCGGACATCTGGGATATCTTCTTCCCTAGGTCTAGTATCTCTCGAGGCCATTACAACTCATCCTATCTTCATTCATTCTACCAATGTGTTGATTCCATTCTCCCCTCAGTGTTATTCTCCATTTGGAAATGGGATTAATTTCACATGAAATTCTAATGTTTTCATTTCTTTCTATATCCAGACATGTTTGTTCACAATTTTTCTCAACACATGCATTTCTGCCACTTCTAGCTGACGTATGCTTTTGGTTTCACCTCGTATCTCTGCTGCTATGATAAAATCGATCTAACTACTGATTTATATATTCTTACTTTTGAATCTTGACTCAAATATTGGTTGTACTACACTTAGTAATTTAAACCAAAAGAAATTCTGTTCCCTTTCATGATTTGTTTTACCTCCTTATTCGTCTGCCCTGAGCTTGTGATTACTATCTATCCCCAAGTATTTTGTTTTTAACATTTGCTTACATTTATCATTTGCCATGAGCTTACATCGAATAGGATCTTTCGCTGTTGTCAGTTTTAGTTTTTTTGGATGGAGATCATCAAATAATAGTTTCTGCAGATTTTATTAAATTCATGGATATCTTCATTTTAGGTTACCAATACAGTGTTGTCCGCATAACAAATTATGTTTATGTTATATTTCGCCATTCTGTATCCATTTTTGATTTTATGCTGATTGATTATTTTATTCATTACCAGATTAAATAGTAAAGGACTCAAGGAGTCACCCTGTCTGATCCCTTTCGATATAGTGATAGGAGAGGGTAATATATTATCAAATGCTTTACTTAGATCTATAGAGCATAAGAATGCTGGGTTATTGAATGAGATGTGATTTATTTCTCTGTAATTATCGGGGTTAAGTTGGTCTCCCTTCTTAAATAATGGTGTGAGGTAAGGTATGCTTATCTTCCAATCCTTGGGTATCTTACAATGGTGCAAGATCTTTTTCATTTATTTAGTTATTTATTCAGTTAATGTGTCTCCATCATACTTTAAAAGCTCATTGTATACACAAACTTCCCCAGGTGATTTACTGTTTTTCAATTTACGATAGGGTGCATTCTGTACTCACGTTTCCTGTTTCTGCAAGGCAACACCACCTAGATCTAGGTGGTGTTGTGCAACTTCGTAATGGGATAAAAATTACTAAAAATACTCCACCCATATTTGGATAGGTTTTGTGATAGTTCTTATATATTCATTAGTTTCTGTTCTCATGGTCCTCCAAATTTGCTTTTGAAGACCATAAAAGTCGTGATTTAATCTTGCCAAGGAAGAGGCCCAATATCTTCTCTTTATTTCTCTAACTTTTGAATTTGTTTCGTTCCTAATGATTTTGTATTCTTGATATAATTGTTGCTTGTACTTGATATAAACATCTCTTGCGATATGCTGCTTCATTTACTTCTTTGGTGAACGACGGTGCTCTTTTATTTTTTATTCTTCCCATATTAACCTTCTCCTTCCCTGCAACCTCTGCTGTCGCTAAAACATTAGTTTTTGTCTTTTTCCATGAGGATTTACATCTTCAATGTCCTGGATCTTATTACTAGTACTCTTCTATAATCTGTTTTTAAATAACTGTTTAGTAGTTTCCTCATTCAAAAACTGGATGTTAATTCTTTCTTGAATCATTGACTTTACCATTGGTTTCACTTTTAAATTTGTCCTTTGTTTTACGAGGACAAGGTCATGATCACAACCAATACCCGCAGCAGTAAAACTGCTTATATCCAATATCTGGCAATCCAATATCTGTATTTCTGGATTGGCCCTCTAGAGTTTGCCCATTATATTAGTGTTGTAATTTATTATCAAAGAGTGTTATTTATCCTCAGTTCATTCTTAGTACAGAAGTCTACTAAAATTTCAATGTTTTCATTTATAATTTCTTCATTAAACTTGTTTAATTATTAGGATAATAGGATTAGACTCTGATGAGTCAACTTTCACGAATCATAGTGCAATCACATGCATTATTGAAATACCGAAAACCCACATTGGTTACGTCAAGCTGAACATCAGCGCCCTTGGAACGTGAATGTTTGGTGTGGCATATTTGACGACAAACTCATCGGCCCGTATTTCATCGACGGCAATTTGAATGGTGAAAAATATCGAAACTTCTTGGAGAACGAACTTCCGTTATTGCTTACAGGCCTTCACCTTAACGTGCGACCATCATGTGGTTTCAACATGATGGTTGTCCAGCTCATTATTATCGAGAAGCACGAGAAGTATTAGATCGCGTGTACCCTCGTCGGTGGATCGGAAGAGGTGGCAACTTGGCTTGGCCAGTAGCTTGGCCTGCCATATCTCCAGATCTTACCTCCCCTGCTTTTTATTTGTGGGTTCACTCAAAGTTTATGATCAACTGCCAACAATACTCGAGAACGTGATTGAGGGAATCACCTAAGTCCTAAGATGTCCTAAGCATGCCCTAAGATTCCGTCCCAAAAACATCTTAGTTGTGTTCAATCTTTCCACGTGCGGATAAATAAATGCATCGAAGTGGGTGGCCAAGTTTTTGAGCACTTGTTAAAATGATTACTTAAATCAAGAACCCCGTCGGTGAGAGGGAAGGGGACTCACCTAAAACAACCACCCCTTGGTGAGCACCCCTGATGTTATAGCAATTTGAAATTTGTTCCATTTGAAATTTAAAAGTTACCCCCTTCTATCTGAGATTGGGGGTGCTCACTCTCATCAATACTATATAAGATTCTTAAAAACAATATCATGTTTTTTTCACTCCCTGGTGCAATTTCACCAGAATTGCGAAAAATTGTGTTTTCTACAATTTCAGCGCCATCTACTGGAAAACAAAAAAATAGGGGTTCCAATTTGAAATTCGCAAGTTGCCCCACCTCCAGGGGGTGAAAGTGGCAGGTCGAGATTAGTATCATCCATACGCCCCTCTGAGACAAAAAAAAAAAAAAAAAAAAAAAAAAAAAAAAAAAAAAAAAAAAAAAAAAAATTCGAAACATTTCTTGATACGATTCTTAGTTTTAAGATATTTACTTGCCTCGAGATAAAAAAAAGTCACCTGTATATATACGCGAGTGCCCATGTTCGTTCCTCACGCCCACATATCAAGAAAACGCATGTGGTAGACCGGGT